CCCCAAAACCCCAAAACCCCAAAACCCCAAAACCCCTTTTAGTCTTTAATGACTGAAACTTGTTAACTGATCGTAACTTTTTAACCCAACGGTGTGACTCCTAATTCTCAATTCTAAAACCCTTCTTTGAAAAAGGTTATTTCAACTATGAGTCACTAGCCAGAATAGGTCTAAATATCGACTCTAATAAAAACTGTAAAGCCCAGATATAAAGCATAACTTAAGTGTCTTAAATGGCTTAGCAACAACATTTACAAGTGAGGCATCTCATTATAGGCAACACCCACTTCATTAAAAACTTCACTTTCTTCATTTCCTTGTTCAGCTTCACGTTCACAGCTGCGATGCTTGGGACTTTACCACAAGCAGTCACCCACTGCTGAAGAAGAGGGTGCTTGTCGAGCTTAGCCAAGCCTATGTCAATCACTTGTCTGAACAAATTGTAGCATTGGTAGTCTTGGAGCCCAGGATGGTCTAGGAAGATGAAGATAAAATCTTACCGTCAGAGTTGAAGAACTGAGTCCTTCTTTGCTTAAGAGTAGTTTCTAATTTATCATACACTCTGTAAAAGACATCCAATAAGAGACAGTTTCTTAGTTTTATTAACTGATTTAATTAGAGGCTTTAGTAGATTTCTTTCAAATACGTTCCTGTGCAGCTATTCTTTATTTTAATTAATCCATTTCATTGTTTGTTAATTTACTTCTGATTGTCCACAGGCCAGGCAGGAGTCTTCAGCTTCCTGGTCTCCACAAGATACTTACAAATGTCAATTGACTCTCCCATTCAATGATCCCCATCCTTAATCGCCGGGATCTTCATCTTAGGGTTGATCTTCTTATACCACTCTGAGGTCTGCTCTCCATTCAGCAGATCGATGACATACTCCTCATGCTCTATCTCTAGCAAGGCGAGGATGTCTATGAAATCATGAAAGAAATTGACTTACTCATAACAGTTCTCGAATAAGGAGAGAAGACGTTCGTATATAAAGTTAATTTGCTTTTTGACATAAATAATAATTAATCGTAACAATCTGCCAGGCTTTTGAAGGGGTTTTGGGGTTTTGGGGTTTTGGGGTTTTGGGGTTTTGGGG